ACTAATTGCCATACTCCATCAGGTGGTTGTATTGGTTGTAAAGTACCAGGAGTTTTTTGTCGACGAGGATTAAATTGTGCACATGGGATACATGATTTGATATAATTATTAATATCCTTGTACATTGATGGCCAAAAATAACGTTGTTTAATTTTATGTATTGTTTTATTTCTTCCAAAGTGAGCACCATTGGCTGCTGTATCATGATATATTTGTAAAATTGTCCGTCGAAAATCACCTTGTGGTACATATGGAACTGGAGTTTTAGATCGACGCATCAAGATATTGTCTTTTATAATATAATGTTTGTATTTCTTGATATTATTAAAAATATTTTTTGCATAAGTATCATTTTGTTGAGCTTGAATTAATTCTTCAATTGAAAATGGAGTAGTGCGATTCTCTTGAATAGAATTATGTAGAGAATCTGATGTTAATTTTGTTGTATTTGAAAGTTCATTTAAAGTATTATTTCGTAATTTCATAGCACGAGTTTCAACAGCTGCGATGATGGATGAATGTTGGTTATCATATAAAATGTCAGTTTGTGTTGATTTGGAATGAAGATGTGAGGTTTCATCAGCATCTTCTTCAGCATCTTCAACGGGAGATCTTGATAAATAATCGGGCATAGAATTTGTTAAGCCTGGAATGTATTTCACCTTGAAATCATATTCTAAAATTTTTAATCTCCATCTTTCGCATCGTTTGTTAATTTGAGCTTTTTGGTTTAATTGTGTTAATGCTTTGTGATCAGTTTCCCAAGTAAATTGAATTCCACTTAAATAATTATGCCATTTATCTAATGCACATATAAATGCGTAACATTCTTGTTCCATTGGAGACCATTTGCGTTGTGCTTGTGTAAATTTCTTCGAAAGATATGCAATTGGTCTATCACCATCTGGATATATTTGTAATAATACTGCACCGATTCCCTCATCCGAAGCATCTGTTTGGACCTTGAAAGGGAATCTATTGTTCGGTAATCGTAACACTAAGTCAGTTGTAAGAAAATGTTTAAGTTGTTCGAATGCTTTAAGTTCATCTTGTGTTAATGTAATCATTGTTTTTTGTCCTTTCTTTTGTTGAGTTCTTGTAGTTGGAACGAATTTCCTAAGTGGTTCAGCGATTTGAGAAAAATTGGGAATAAATTTGCGATAATACTCAGCTGCTTTAACAAATTTACAAGCTTCATCTGCAGTTTGTGGTAA